TGTTAGCCAGGATGGTCTCGATCTCCTGACCTCGTGATCCACCCGTCTAGGCCTCCCAAAGTGCTGGGATTACAGGCTTGAGCCACCGCGCCCGGCCTGTTTTTTTTTTTTTTTTAAGTAAAATATGAGTCATCCTTTTTTTTTTTGAGACAGAGTCTTGCTCTGTTGCCCAGGCTGGAATGCAATGGCATGGTCTCGGTGCACTGCAACCTCCGCCTCCCGGGTTCAAGTGATTCTCCTGCCTCAGCCCCCCAAGTAGGTGGGACTGCAGGTGTGCGCCACCATGCCTGGCTAATTTTTTGTATTTTTAGTATAGACAGGGTTTCACCATGTTGGCCAGGCTGGTCTCAACTCCTGATTTTAAGTAATCCGCCCGTCTTGGCCTCCCAAAGTGCTGAGATTACAGGCGTGAGCCACCGTGCCTAGCCATAATCTTTTTTTTTTTTTTCTGAGATGCAATCTTGCTCTGTCACCCAGGCTGGAGTCCAATGGTGCAATCTCAGCTCACTGCAACCTCCACCTCCCAGGTTCAAGCGATTGTCCTGCCTCAGCCTCCTAAGTAGCTAGGACTATAGGCACCTGCCACTACGCTTGGCTTTTTTTTCTTCTTTTTTTGTATTTTCAGTAGAGGCAAGGTTTCACCATGTTGGCCAGGCTGGTCTCGAACTCCTGGTCTCAAGTGATCTGTCTGCCTTGGCCTCCTAAAAGTGCTGGGATTACAGGCGTGAGCCATTGTGCCTGTCCTGAGCCATCCTTCTCCTGAGGAAAACATACTCTATCTTGAGAAAAACCAACAGACCTAGGAATAGAGTACCTAGGTTATACAGCAAGTATATGTTTAATTCTATGAGGAACAATCACGCTGTTTATCAAAGTAAATATTCTTCCTACCAGCAATGCGTGTGAGTTCCAGTTGCTCCACATCCTCACTAATACTCATTATTGTCTTTTTAAAAAATGTAAGCCATTCTGATAGATATGTGTTGTTACTGTTCTTTTGCTGTACAGAAGCTTTTTGGTTTGTCTAATTTGTCTACTTTTTCATTGTATTTGCTTTTGAGTTCTTAGTCATAATTTTTTCTTTTTTTGAGACAATCTCGCACTGTCACCCAGGCTGAAGTGCAGTGACATGATCTCGGCTCACTACAACCTGTCTCCTGGGTTCAAGTGATTCTCATGCCTCAGCCTCCTGAGTAGCTGGAATTACAGGTGTGTGCCACCATGACTGGCTAATTTTTTTTTTTTGAGGCGGAGTTTCACTCTCGTTGCCCAGGCTGGAGTGCAGTGGTGCAATCTTGGCTCACTGAAACCTCCACCTCCCGGGTTCAAGTGATTCTCCTACCTCAGCCTCCCAAGTATCTGGGATTACAGGCATGCGCCACCACACCTGGCTAATTTTGTATTTTAGTAGAGAGGGGGTTTTACTATGTTGGTCAGCCTGGTCTCAAACTTCGACCTCAAGCGATCCACCCACCCTTGGCCTTCCAAAGTGCTGGGAATACAAGTGTGAGCCACTGTGCCCAGCTGTAGTGATAAATTCTTTGCCTAGGTATTTTTGTATTCTTATACATCATGTCAAACTTTGCTTTGCAAAGTAATTAAGTCACTTGGAAACAGTGTGATCACTTTAGGTCTTGCTTTTATTTTTTGTTAGGTGGATCTGAAGCAGTGCTGCCTTAGTCTCCTTGGACTCTCAGCTCCATTTCCTCAGCTCAAGTAGTCCACTGGGCTCTACCTCAGTTCTGCCTTCTCTTGCTGTGGTCCAGAAATTCTCTCTGGATATCAGAAAACAAAGGACAGTAATCCCTGCCAAGATGGGATACAAACAAGGCGAGCCCCACGATTGCCCAAGCCTACTACCTGGAATGTCTTTTTCTGTTTTTTCCTTTTTCTTTTTTTTCTTCAAGATGGGGTCTTCCTGTGTTGCCCAGGCTGGAATGCAGTGGTGTGATCATAGCTAATTGCAGCCTTGAACTCCTGGCCTCAAGTGGTCCTCCCACCTCAGCCTCCCATGTAGCTGGGTCTCCAAGCACATGCTACTGTGCCCAGCATGGTATTCAGTGTCTTGAAACCACCATTGCCTGTATTTTGACTGGCTCCTTTGGTTGTTTCAGGTAGAAGGGTCAACCTGGTCCCTGTTACTCCATCTTGTCTGTAAGTTGAAGGCCTTGATGTTTTTCTCCTTATCTCTTCATCATCTCCAGTGGTGGTAAAGTCACTCACGACTGCCATTTCCTTCAAGGGAGGAAACGTGCCAAGACTTTGCCTACACAATCCCAATTTGTCCTCATAACGATGCAGATTTTCTTTTTTTTTTTTGGAACGGAGTCTTGCTCTGTTGCCCAGGCTGGAGTGCAGTGGTGCGATCTCGGCTCACTGCAACCTCTGCCTCCCGGGTTCAAGCAATTCTCCTGCCTCAGCCTCCCGAGTAGCTGGGATTACATGTGTGTGCCATCACGTCTGGCTAATTTTTGTATTTTTAGTAGAGACGGAGGTTTCACCATATTGGCCAGGCTGGCTCGAATTCCTGACCTCGTGAGATTAGAGGTGTGAGCTACTGTGCCCAACCCCAGTGCAGATTTTTTTAGTCTCAATCTCTATTTGACAGCTAAAAAACTGAGGCCCAGACAGGCCTGTTGGCATATATTGCTTCCTGGAGCTCCACAAAGCTCTCAGTGTCTTGCTGCATAGTTGCTAGAGGAGCTGCCTGACCTGCACAGCAAGTCTCTGGCTCTTCATTCCTTAAGGAAAAGTCCCGCGTGCAGCCTGGCTTTTTATGTATACACACACACACACACACACACACTATGCTGGCTTTATTTGGCATGCACACGTGCCTGGGTCTCATCCAGTCACTTGACATACGAGTGAGACATGGAGTAGAATGGTTGCTAGGCCAGAGATCAGTGGTCAGTTACCCAGGCCTCTGATTCCAAGTCCTGATTCCAAGACCCAGGCCTCTGATTCCAAGTCCTCTGATTCCCCAGACTCAGACCCACACACTAGGTGGTGGTGATAAAGATCAGGACCCAGGAGTGGGTGGTACTCAGTCCTCACTGTGCTTAAAGATTCTGTGATTCTATCTCTTCTCCTGTAGATCATTTGGATCACTTTCTAATAAAATTCTAACTTTCCTGATAATTCTCCAATATGTCCAAGACTGTAAATACTGATTTCCTTTCATGAAATTGTCCAAACAGCTGCAACCCTTGGTGCACAGTATGATCTGAACCTGGGACACAGCAAGACCAGAACCATGAACCATGATGCCTCGCTTGGGAGATGACATGTGCAAGGTAACCTGTGGTGCTGTGTGACCACAGAAGTGACCACTTTACACTGTGAAATGAATTTCTGCATGGGGGATATATTAGGGTTCTCTACAGGGACAGAACTAATAGGAGATATATATAATATATATGTAAGTTTATTAAGTATTAACTTACACAATCACAAGGTCCCACAGTAGGCTGTCTGTAAGCTGAGGAGCAAGGAGAGCCAGTTCGAGTCCCAGAATTGAAGAACTTGGGAGTCCAATGTTCGAGGGCAGGAAGCATCCAGCATGGGATAAAGATGTAGGCTGGGAGGCTAAGCCAGTCTCATCTCTTCATGGTTTTCTGCCTGCTTTATATTCGTTGGCAGCTGATTAGACGGTGCCCACTTGATTAAGGGTGGGTCTGTCTTCCCCAGCCCACTGACTCAAATGTTAATCTCCTTCGGCAACACCCTCACAGACATATCCAGGGTCAATACTGCATCCTTCAATCCAATCAAGTTGACACTCAGTATTAACCATGACAGGGGGGAATGAGATGACACAAAGGATCCCTTCTGGCTCTCATGTTCTGTCACCACCTACTTCAGGAGAGAGATGCACAATGCAGGGAGGATGAAAGTTAGAAGGAAAAGGCAAGAGAAATCAGGAGGGTTTGGTATTCAATGCGTGTTCATTTATTTTACACTTACAAAAGAAATCGCCCACCCCTTTGCCCCATTCCCCCAAAACAGTCTCTTTTTACAAACATTTAAAAATTAAAACCAAATGAAGATAGACAAGTTAATTTCAGTACAATTATTTTTCAGTGTAGCTGTCATAATTAGAGTTTAAATTTCCTACAAGTGACCAATGTCCAAGTGACTTATAGGGAAATCCTGATTATCGGCCAGAGGAAATTCCATATTACAAGTTAGCAAATTCTAGTACAAAAATAGTCCGTGTGTTGGAACAGCTTTCCTTTTACATAGGTCTCAGGTCAGTCTGCTGACTGCATAATACCTAACGTTTCCAGATTCTCTCTCACAAATGGCTCAATCGTCACCGCTGAAGCAGCATGGCACCTGCAGCAGCAGGGGCTAGTGTCCACCTTGGGGCCGTGCTGGAGACGGCAGACCTGGGAGTGCCTTGCTGGCCCCAGGGCACCTGGGCAGAGCTCCAGCCCTAGCTCCGCACGTGGGGCTAGGAGGGAGGGACAAGCTTCCCCCTCCTGAGGCAATGCCAGGCCCAGGACACAGGGCACATCTGCCCAGGGAGCTGGGCTGGCGCTGGTGCAGGACAGCACATCTCCTGCCAGTGTCTCCTCCCCCTACAGCCTGGTCAGGTGAGAGGTGGCCCTGCGTGTCATCAGCGGCGAGAGTGTGGCCCTGCCCTTGCTGCAGCCAGGGCAGGCCGGGGGAGGCTACTTGTCCCTCAGGATGTCGAGCTGTTCCTGACACTCGGTGAAGAGGCGCTGGAATCGGAGGTTCTGCCCGATGACTGGCAGCAGCTCCTTCAGCAGCTCCCTCTTCCGCAGACCCTGTGGACAGAGTGACAGCTGAGTGCAAGTGTCAGTGAGGAGACCTAGATTGTGGGGACTTTCCTGGCCTGGCAGAGAACCTTGTGTCTGCTCACGGGAGAAGGAAAGAACAACTCCTCTGCAGGTGAGTAACTGTGAGAGAGCTGTGGGGCAAATATGCAGGATGAAGTGGCAGGTGGAGTGGGAGCAACACAGCGTGGGGATAAAGGAGGATGAGACCAGTGCTCCTCCATCTGTGGGCACAGTCACTGCTGACCTTACAGTGACTGAGCAGGGCCCTGACCATCCAGGGCAGGATGAGAGTAGAACATCAAGGCTTAGGGTCAGGTGGCTGGCCATTCAGGAGGGGCTGTTCCCTCATGCTGATGTTTGCCAGGGGTTTGGGGTCAAGCCCCAGGGCAAGGATATGCCTGGGGGGCACTGACTGGCTTTAGTTTTCCAGTAAAACAAATGAGGTACCAGTATCCCCTGATGTGGAGGATGTTTGGATGCTGACGAAACTATGTTTAGTTGCCCAAACATCCTCCACGTCAGGGCATATTGGCACACCACAGTCTGAAACAAGCATTGCCAGTTGGGGTCTCTGCTGCACAGACCAAAAGAGCAGACTCCTGAGCAGTACGGCTGCTCCAAAGGGAAAACTACCAGTCAGACAACTTTAACACTGGAAGAGAAGGCCTAAGATCTTGAATTAACAGTGACAGATACACTTGCAACAAGACTAGAAGTGACAGTAAAGAACAAGTGTAAATACGAGGTTTGAGTAACACAGAAGTTGTTAGAGATGGGATAAGCAGGAGAATGGCTGCTGCTGACAACCAACTTTGATGGAGAAGCAGCCCACGCTCCAACAGGGAGGCTCTGACACCAGAGTGCTGTAGTCAGACCAGAAATTGTATGGTTTTGCAAAGCCTGAAATGTTTACTATCTGGTCCTTTACAGAAAAGTTCGCGAACTCCTAAAATACATCATGTTTTCTGACTAAAATAATTGAGTAAAACTCACAAGTCAAAGGGGAATTCAAATTAAGTGAAATTAAAAATGACTTACAAGAGAATGGTTAAAAAAAAAACACACAAAATACTCCAAAAGTGGTGAGACTCAGCAAAAGTGGGCACTTTAGAGGCATTTAGAAACAACAGCTTATACTGTATTAGAGAACATGAAAGAATGACAAACCAAGACTCCAACCTAAAGCCATCGGGGAAAGGAAAAAAAAAAAAAAAAGACTAAAAAAAAACACCAAAAAAACCCCATTTTTTAAAAAAGGAGATAATAAACATTGAAATAAATAAATAGAAAACAAAGATTTAATAGAGAAGATTTATAAAAACAATTTTATTTTATTTTTTTTGAGACAGGGTCTAGCTCTGTTGCCCAGGCTGGAGTGTAGTGATACAATTGTAGCTCACTGCAGCCTCAACCTCCCAGGCTCAAGTGATCCTCCTGCCTCAGCTACTCGAGTAGCTGGGACTATACGTGTGTGCCACCATGTCTGGCTAATTTTCATATTTTTAGTAGAGCGGGGTTTCACCATGTTGGCCAGGCTGGTCTCAAACTCCTGAGCTCAAGTGATCCTCCTGCCTTGTTCTCCCAAAGTGCTGGGATTAAAGGCATGAGCCACTGTGCCTGGCAAAAGTCATTTCTTGAAAAGACTAATAGAGAAACGTCCGGCAGGATTAATCTAGAAAGAGAGAAAAAGCTTAAAGAAATAATATTAGAAATAAAGAAGAGACATACCTACAGATATAGAAGAAAGAAAAAGTTATGATTACTATCAACTTTATGCTAAGAAATTTGAACATTTAGAGAAAATGGAGAGATTCCTAGAAAAATATAATGTATGAAAACTAGCTCACAAAGAAATAGAAAGGAAGAGTTAATTATTACCACAAAGAAAACATCAGGAATACTATTTTAAAACTGACATCTAAGAAACTTCCAAGGATGAGATTTTCTCTTTGTCTTTCTCACAGTTTGACTATAATGTGTCTCAGTGCAGGTTCCTTTGGGATTTTCCTACTTAGAGTTCACTGAGGCTCTTGTATTAGTAGATCCACATCTTTCCTCAAATTTGGAAAATTTCAGCCAGTATTTCTTCAAATACTCTCTCTCTCTTACACTTCCAGAACTCCCATTATGGATACATGGGTATACTTGGATGGTGTCTGATAACTTTCTTAGACTCTGTTTGCTTTTATTCATTCTATTTTCTTTTTGCACCTCATACTTGACAGTTTCAAATGACCTATTTTTAAGTTTGCTGATTCTCCCTTTTGCCTGCTGGAGTCTGCTGTTGAACCCTTGTAGTGAACTTTTCAATTCAGTTATTGTATTTTTAAACTCCAGATTTCTGTTTAGCTCTTTTTTTGGAATTTCTATCTCCTTGTTGATACTCTCATTTTCTTTTTTTTTTTTTTCCTTGAGATGGAGCCTCGCTCTGTTGCCCAGGCTGGAGTGCAGTGGAGTGATCTTGGCTCACTGTAAGCTCCGCCTCCCGAGTTCACACCATTCTCCTGCCTCAGCCTCCCGAGTAGCTGGGACTACAGGCGCCAGCCACAAAGCCCAGCTAATTTTTTTTGTATTTTTAATAGAGACAGGGTTTCACTGTGTTAGCCAGGATGGTCTTGATCTCATGACCTTGTGATCTGCCCGCCTTGGCCTCCCAAAGTGCTGAGATTACAGGCATGAGCCACCGTGCCCGGCCCTCATTTTCTTTTTTCTTTTCTTTTTTTTTTTTTTTT